CCGCCACCCGTCTGTGGGCAGAGCCTGCTCCCCGCCGAGGCTGCTGGCATCGTGGTTCTGCTGGATGAGCCTCCTCAGCGCCATGGCCGTGGGCAAAGGGCGTTTAAAAGGGCATCGCTGAACGCCCCAGCGCAGCCAGGGGAACTCAAACACCCTCACCCCCTCCCGCGATCAAAAAGGAGGAGAGCGGAAAGCCAGGCACGTGACCTGTGGTTTAGGTGCACGTTATATAAACCTCTCCTCGCAGATCACCAGGGCGCTTGGTATGTGTTGTGCTCATAGGAGAGTTAAGAATTAGGCTTGGCAAGTAAAGAAATCTGATTAATTTTTCCATTCCTGCACACAACAATTCTCACCAAAAGGCTGCTCCTCTCTGCGACAGTTTGTCCTTAAAGCACTGCTCACTTCAGGCACCTGCCTGGATCCAGCTTGGCCGTCCTCCCTCTTGCTCGGCGTCCCACACATCACTCAGATTAGCCAGAGGGTGACTTTCCAGCCATGGAGAGGGACACAAGACCAGCCAGCATCTCACCCCGGCCTGCACTGGCCGAAGCGGGGTCACTCCGGGCGGCGGCTGCTGCTCCGCCATCACATTGTACGGGGGGGCCCTCTCTTCAGAGGATTTTGTCCCGGCTGCAGACACATTTGGGAGGATTCAAACACATTTGGGCAGATTCAAATGTATTTGGGAGGATTCAAACACATTTGGGAGGATTCAAACACGTTTGGGAGGATTCACGGCTCTGAGGATTTTTGGCTGGTTTCTTTTTTCACTCCAGTTATCACTCGACCCTTTGTTCATTTTGGTGTGGCTTTTATTAACCTGCAGGTTATTGATGACCTCTGGGCAGCTCACCTGCTCCTGGATTTCACAGACCCCAGCCAGGTCCTGAACACACGTGGAGCAGGAGAACCCCCACCGCAGCCCCGTGTCCCCGGCCGGGAGCCCTGCGGGTTGTCAGTGACCAGAGACAGGTTGGACATCCTGAGGGCACTCACCTGAAGTTCACTTTTTGTTGAGTCAGCTGGACAAAGACAGGGGACAAGAACTGTGCAAAGAATCAGAGTTCATCACAATTAACCCTGGCCGGCGCTCGAACCTTCACGGGGCTATTGCTATCAAAATGAAGCAAAACCAAGGCACAAGTTACATTCATTTTCCTCAGTCGAGGCTTTTTATGCATCTTTACAAAGCGTCGCCTGGGACATCCCCCAGCTGCCCAGAGGCGCGGGGGCACAGGCAGGGCAGGGGCCGCGGAGGCAGCACTGTTGGGTTTTTGTCTCTGCTAATCTTGTGGAAGTTCAGCGCGGTCTGGTATGTGCTGTCACAAGGGATTAATTCAGAGCTGATTTGCACGCCTTGTGTAGCGGCTCTGCCTTGCGAAGTGGCGGTGCAGGCGGAGTGGGTGGCTGTGGCCAAGAGCTCCCACCCACAGGAAAGATAACAGCTTTTAAGTCAGTGATTGCAAAAGAAGCAGAGTGAGATTTTTTAAATTTGTTTCATTTTTAAGAATATCTCTTATGCTGGAAATAAGTCTGGGTTTGGGCTGCAGAGCGCTAGAGATCACATCACGATCTCAGCAGAAACGCAGGGTGAGGAAAACAACAAGCGCGGTGGGACGGGCCTTCCAGTTGAAAGATAAGTACAGTTCAACTCGCTAGCATGGGAGGGGTTCGTTTGCCTTTTTCTTTTTTTGCATGGCTGATTTTAATAATATTTCTGACACAGTAAGTTTCTTTTCCTCCTCCTAGATGCCCAGCCCCTTGCTACGTCACCTCGGCAGGGAGGAGCCGCCCTCCCCGCACCACTGATCAGCCCACAGCTGGCCACAGCACCAGCACACACGGGCTGCCCAGCAGCCACATCTGGCCGCCCGTCCATCCCACATCCTTCAGCGCGTTCTGCCATGCCCAAACAGAGAACCAAGAGAACACATTTCACACACACGTCAATGTACCCTGGCTGGTTGTTTAGTAAAAGTCTCGCTCACTGTTGGTTTGTTCTCTTTTTTTAAGCTTGTGACACCTCTTCTGGCCATCAAGCAAAATTCTCGATAATTTTAAGAGCAAAGTGAAATATTACATAAGAATGTTAGCAAACAGGATGCTATGTGCTATTGAAAAATACTGTATCCCTTCAGAAACACCCGGTGGAAAGGAAATCTGGAGACTCAGAATCTTCCACATTTGCAGAGACATCTCACCTGGCTGTTGGCTGGAGCACCCCACCCACCAGCCCCCCCGGCAGGGCTTGCAAAATCTCTCCCAGTATGGGCAGAATTAAAGAATTCTTTTTCCACATTGTTGTTGTCTCCCAAAAGATTTTAAAGAAAAACAGAATTAGCTTTTCACTAGGAAGGGATTTTTTTGCAGCCCTGGGCTGGCAGCAATCACCTCTGGTAGGCTGTCAGGGGACCTGTCCAGGTGCAGCTCCACCACTGCGGGGGACACTAACTGCTGAGTCCAGGGCAGCCACAGGGTGGACCTAGAGGCCTCCTGCACTGCGACAGACCCCCGCCTCGCCCCCCGAGTTCGCCTGCCTGAACGAGCTTTAGAAGAGGGTTCTGCTGTCAGCCCAGAAGGAGAAGGCTGCTGGCACACCAACAGTTCTGCTGCCTGACACCCAGCTCCTTGCCCAACAAACACCAGATAAAACCCTGATTTTGCAGGACACACTGCAGCAGGCAAGAAAACGGTGTTTTCCATTTTCAAAGAAGCATTGACACTGCTTTGGGCTATAACAGTGAAAGGGTTTTCCACTTTTGAAGGAGCATTGACAGTGTGTTGGACTATAGCAGTGAAAGAGGTTTGGGTTTTACTGTCATTTCAGAACAGACTGATGCCTGGCCACGGATGGCCTGTACTAGCCCTGGGGCATGAGCCTTCAGACCTGGCTGCGTGCTTGTGTGAAGGATGCTGCCTGCCTGGGTCTTCCTGAGGATCTTGAGGAACATTGCCTCTTTCTTCACCCAAAGGCTGGCTTAGCATCAGTATATATTATTTAGCATAGCAAATTTAAAATGTGGCCATTGAAACGTTTTTATATTTGACAATTAAATAAAATAACACAGAGCATAACAAGGTCAAACTGTCTCAGTCTGTACATGCAATCAGCACTGCAGCTGCTCGTGTTTCCAGTTCACGTTCTCTCTTCACACCAAACTGCTGCTGCTGTTCTGCCCTCCTGCTCGTTGGGAAGGCGTTTGCTGGAGCAGAGGAGCTCCCAGTGCCAGGAAAATGTTGGTGCAGGGCTTCCCCTGCTCCAGGGGATCCCCCTCCACTGTCCTGGGTTGCTGCAGTGCTGGCACCTCCCACCTCAAACGTTTCATTCCTCAAAATCCAGCATCTTGAAACCGAGGGAGAGCCTCTTAGAAAACATCTGGCCCACACCCCTGGAGGAGGGTTTGTGGCTGAGGTGGGACGAGTCCCTGAGGTCCCCATGCCTCCCCCAGCACACAGAGGCGGACAGGTACGTGTGGCATGTCACAGCAGCACCACGGGGAGGATTTTAGATGTCTGCCCTTCACCTCCGAGAAGGAAAACGGGGATCTGGAGAGATCCGCGGGGAACCCCTCTGGGTGAAAGGTGGCACTGGCCCTGCTCACAGTTTATGTCTCTCCCCCCTTCTCCGTGGTGCAAAACCACAAAGGTGTTAAAAAGCAGTGCGCAACAAGAGGAAAGCTCTCCCCTTTTCCCTGAGGAAAGTCCGCTGTATCTCGGGGATGGCATCTGCTCACCCGCATGGCAGGTCCTCCGCACCTCTTCCCCTTTTCCTGCTCGCAGTCACTCTCTGCCAACAAACAGAGCGCGTTTCAGTTCCTCAGGCAGCTCGCTTTTACGTTTCTGAAACCTGGTGACTCATCTCCTAACGAGCCGAGAGGAGAAACAAACAAAAATCTCCCCTGGGAGG